CTCCGATACCCTCTCCTCCATCTCGACTCAATCACGTCACCCATGCCTCGCCCCCTCCGTCGACTCCCGCCGCACTTCAGCATCGACCCCGCCACCGGGGACATTCTGGCCACCGACCCGTCAGAGAACCTCGTCTACCGGTTCGTTCGCGACCAAATCCGGCACATTCTCTCACTCGACGAGACCCTTCGCCAAGGGAAATTCGATGCGTCGACGGACGTCATCCCCGGCGGGTATTCAACGTTCGAACGCCTGTGGAGGCTCGACGACTTGAATGCGTACGGCCTTGCGGGCCTACCAAACGAGTCTGGTCAGATCCTTGTCACTCACCCGAAGATCCCGTCGGCGATGGTTCTACCCCGACGCGAGGACGACGAGGCCCGAGACGATCGCACTTACCGGCAGCTGGTGACCTACGCCGCTCGTGCGTTCGCCCAAGAGCAGGACAAGAAAGCGTACCACATCCAGAAGCGACGCAACTACAAGGCAGCACGCGGCGCCATAGCCGCCCACAACGCAGCCACGGCCGGGCGTCTCAATCGCTCTCGCGCAAGCTCTGTCCTGACCGAGGCCGTCACGGATCTCCCTCTCGACCACCACGATCCAAACCTCTTCAACTTCGAGGTGGACGATTCGGCCTACTTCCCTCCAATCGAGGAGGAGCTTGTCGAGGACAGCGGTCCCTCTACCTCAGCCCAGTCTCTCTCTCTCACTGGGACTGCCGACCCGACGACCGTCGCTTCCGCCCAGGCTTCTGCTGCACCGGCCACGACCCCTACGCCCGCGCCGGAGAACGCCTCGGCGTCCACTGTCGTCCTGCCTGTTGGCACGGCCCCTCCCGCTGCGACCACGGAGCTCATCTCTTCAGCTACGACGAGCTCCGCCACTGTCACTGCATCTAGCGCTCCCGCGCCTGGCGATGCCGACATCCGCATGGCGGACTCGGGGCAGGAGACCCTCGGAGGAGTTGATCTCTTGTAGACTATCGTGCTACGATAGCCGGAGGGCGTATGTAACGGACCGCTCTCGCGCTATATCCCATTTCTTATCTGTACTATTCATTTCTTGAAGTCCTTCTACTTACTGACCTTATCCGCTCTTTATAGACATTCTTTCCCTCACCTTCCCTCTTTAGATACTCGTTCCCGTGACCTCTCTCGTATCGTATATAAGACGAACCTCATGTAGGGCGAAGACCCCAGTGTTCTAGCAACGACAGACTTCATCCCTGTCATATCCCGCCTGAACCTCTTCTCTGTCGCGTCACCGGATCGCTTGCGAACCGCGAGCGCGACACATTGCGTTTGGCCTGATCAGTGCGGGAAACGGCGGGACACTGCCACAGCGACGCTCAGGCACCGTGGGCGCTTGCAAGGGCGGCGACGGTCGGCGATGATTGAGGCCGCTAAGCTCGGATCTCCTCCTCTCCGTACCCAACTTCGACAATGTGGTGCGGGGGTATATAATGAGCGTGAGCACTACGCTGCTCAGAAGGATCAAGATCGCTCTCGCCAGTGCATTCTCTTGCAGGTCTGCACGCTCCGCAACTCCGCGCAATCTATACGCAAACAGCATCCAGAACTTCACCATGGCGCGCACCAGTCAGATCCGACGCGCTCGCGACGTCGGCCGCGACTCTCAACCTCTCCGATTCCCTACGCCGTTTATCTTCATTAATCGTGACCCCATCACCCTCGTCGAGCTGCGCATGCGCACCTTGTCCGGCATGATTCGGTCGAAGCCCGACTGGTGGGTGAAGATCCATGACCCAGAGCTTGTCGCGAAGTGGAGACAAGAGATGGTCGACCAAGACCGCGATGCAGTGGAGAAGCTCTGGGGTGGCGAGGAGCGTTTCGAACATGGCTGGGGCAAGAAACAGTGGCCGCGCGATGAAATCACAGTCTCTCAGCTGGACTACATCTTCGAGCAGCTCAAGTACGAGTCGAGCCAGCGCGATGATGAGACAGGCATCTTTGTGAGCATTGAAGCGTGTTTCATACATGTCGTCGCTGACATCCGTCCTTAACCCTCTAGGCGGCTGCGATTCCGAAGGTGTACGAATCGCGCAGCCTTATACCCGCCGACCTCAAGTCGGACCTCGTAGCAGGGGTGTCTGACCTGGAGTACGTCCCGGAGGAGGAGAAGGACTGGCATCCTGGCACAAACAAGCAAGTCCTGGATCTCGTTCACCCCTCTCTCTACTGCCTGCGAATCGGCGAATCTCTTGTCCGTCGGAAGGACGAATCGGGTGCAGACGTTGTTTCCATACTCAGCAAGGAGGACTACGCATCCCAACGGCCAGACTTCGCAGGAGTCGAAGAGTTCGTGTCTTCCGACTACCAGTGGCTTCCGACAGACTTTATGGTCTTTGGAGATGGCAGTGTCCAACCGCTGGGCTATATCAATAACCTCCATCCCACCAAGCACCGCTCACTCTATAACACGATTTCATCCGTGCTGGAACGCTTCGTGCCTCTCTTTAACAGGGTGCTCTCTGATGTGCTCAGCCCAGAGCCTCCGCTCGCTATCAGGGTCGATCCCGGTCGATGGTACGACCATATCCACGAGCCAGAGTTCCGCTATAGCCATACGGATGAAGAAGACCCTTGGGAGAAGTGGGCTCGCACAGAAAAGTGGCCGTTCATCCCCGAGCCGAATGCGTTCTCTCCCCCGGAAAGCGATGGGCGTATCGAGTTCGACTTGAATAGGCGGACGGTGCAGGTCATCGTCAAGCTCGCCAACATCCACCTTACGCCGGACAACCCGAAATACCCGGGCGGCTCGTGGCACGTCGAGGGCATGGCGAACGAGAAGATCGTGGCAACCGGGCTCTACTACTATGCATGCGAGAACATCACCGAGTCACGCCTCAGCTTCCGGACCGTGGTTGGCGAAGGCGCCGACGGTGGAATCTGGATGTCGTATGAGCAGAACGACGACCAAGGATGGTACTCCGCCTTTGGCTTTTCCGGGGGCCAAGGGATGAACCAGGTGCTCGGCCATATCGTGGCCGACGAGGACAAGTGCATCGCGTTTCCGAACATCTACCAGCATCGCGTCGAGCCGTTCGAGCTCGCGGACCCCTCGAAGCCGGGTCACCGCAAGATCTTGTGCTTCTTCCTTGTGGACCCGTTGCAGAGGATTCTGTCGACGAGTGACGTGCCGCCTCAGCAAGAAGATTGGTCGATGAGCGAGATGGTTCGTGCGCCTGCGCTCCGGCAACTGCCAGTAGAGCTGTTCGAGATGGTCGCTCATTATGCGCGGCAAAACACCATCTCTCGGAAGGAGGCTGAGGAACATCGAGAGCGGTTGATGAGGCAGCGTGCTAACTTCGTGGTTGAGCATAACGAGAAGGTGTTCGAGCTTCAGTTCAATATGTGCGAGCATTGACGAGCACATGCTACCAGTGCTGTATCGTAATTCCGACGCTAGCGGCCTGAGCCCTGAAATGCCATGCCTTTGATGTAGCTTGTTTGGGATACCATGTATATCAAAGAATGCACGGTCAGTTAGCCAATGACTGAGTCGGGATCGTGTTTCTCTCCGACTGGGGGCGACGTGATGGACGCTCCCTTCACTACTCTGTACTGAGATCAGATTGTCATGCCCATCTACCCTGTCAACTCCCGTTTAGCTCAGTTGGTAGAGCGCGTCACTAGTACCCTATGCATGGGCTATGACGAGGTCAGTCGTTCGAGTCGGCTAATGGGAAGCTTGCAAATCAGCTCGCTTTTTACACAGTAAATATTGCGCCTTGGCCGCTCCGGCCGCTCCGGCAGACTGCAGACGGTCCAACTTATTGCACCCTCTGTTTGTGTTCACGCGGTGATCCAATCCTTTCAAAGGTGCATTTTAGGTGCCCTTTCGATGGCATCGTGTGGCGATGCACAATCCACGTGAGCGTGGTAGAGCGTTATCTGACTTCCTTAGCCTAGCATCACTAGGGGAAGACAGGACAAGCAATCTGAGACAATGAGTGCATGCGCACGGCCATGGACGTGTAAGATGTAGCCATTGTCAGTAAGTGTTCTGCCTCTACCAACGTTGCTTCTACTGTAGACGTCATGCAGTTCCCGTAGCATTGCAAGCTGATTTGCATAGCGCATGAGTGCAATTGCACCGAACAGTATCAGGGAATGTGGGCGTACCCGGCAGACCGTATTCGCTAGCCACGTTGACGCACTTGTAACTCGGCGCGGTCCCGTTTGGCGGGGCAATGTCGATGTTGTGGAAGCGGATGTTCGGGCAGGGCACTGCCGGACTGCATTCGATGTCGACGACTGCGAGTGAGACGTCATGGAGAGTGAATGAGAAATACGACAATGCATAACGTGCGGAGACGTACTAGTGGTACGCTGCGAGGTGCCGGTGAAATCGCTGAACGTCATGTTGCTGAACTGCAGCTTCGAGGGCGTGTCGCCGCTGACATACGAGGCGTGAATACAAAGGCGATGACAAGCTGAGAATCCACGCACGAGCTACCGCCGTTGGTCTGGTAGACGTGGATGGGTACCGTAACTTCATCCAGGGAGAACTGCTTTGCGACGACATTCGAGACAAAGCCTGCGCAAGCGACTATCATCAATATCGTCACTCAGAGAAGTGAAGCGTGGCGAGACCTCCGCCTCCTCCGCCGCCTGTTGGAGGAGAGCCATGGACAGAGCCAGTCCATGTCTTGAAATAGATCCCTGAGCCCATGTTGGGTTGCACTTTCGGATCAAGGCGGATCATCTATGCCGACCTCAGTTAGATTGTTCCCTCAAAAACAAGAGTCATTGAAAAGGGGCACCTTGGCGTTCTCAATGACTAGATTGTCCACGATGTCAGGCTAGGAGCAATGACATGAATGGAAGACAAGCCATAGGGAATGTGCGATGGACTCACAAGGTCGACGTACTGTCCTAGAGAGCCAACGGCTATCCCGTTGCCGCCGCGGCAGGTGATGTCGTTTGCGAAGATGTTGGTCGAGTTCTGCAAGGTGGCGTCAGATTTGTCCTGAGTAGAGGTCATACGTCGCCCATTCACGTACTCCCTTGATCGCGAGGCAATCGTCTCCAGACGTGATCTGGGAACAAGTGAGGATAAGAATTACGGATGCTATGGAGTGGCGTACGTCAAACCGAAGCAAGGACACGCTATCGGAACGATAGGTATTGATTCCTGTGACGCATAAGCAAAGCGAAGCAAGTTCACGGACACGAAAGCATAGGCATACCGTCGGTATTGGGCACGACGCTGGAAGTGCATTGTTCAGTTCGGCCGCGAAGACGGAGTACTATCTGCGCACTTTTGTCCAACATAGAGGGGATCCTGATTCGTTGCATTGCAGTACATGCCATCATAGACGACGTCCTTCGAATCGGCGACAGCATTGCACCAGAACGGCTGAGCTTCGATCCTGAAGTCCTTTATTACGCCTCTCGTCAAGTTCGACAACGTGAGCGATACAGGTCGGCCATCGCCGTCCGAGCGCGAGCGATTGCCGTAGAACGACCACCATGTCTGACCATTGCCGTTGATCCCACCAGAGCCGTGCGCGTCGACAACGAAGTCGTGACCGGTGATGACGAACCAGGACGCTTGGTCTTGGATGAAGATGACGCGATAGGTATTGCTGGCGTTCAACCAATACTCCGGGTCGGGTTTAAACTAGCATCGCAGTCAGGGACCACTGAGTCTTCGACTTGTACCAGACTTAGCTTACATTCAAGTAGCCGTGCATATCGACTCGAGACGAAACAAGGTCCCAGGTCATTTTTCTGTAACACCATGGTGTATCCATTGCAGTAGTTTTCATGGAAACGACTATAGCGACGTACCTGGTTATGTTGTACTGCCCTGGTCCGAACACCGTTGTCCCAAAGTGACCACATTTCGAAATTGCAGCTTCAACCTGCAATGATCAGTGAGTACATATGCCATGAAGTCACTTGAGTGGCCTCACTTGGTCTGTATCATCCTTACCGTGACCGAGCGGGCTCAAGTTGCAGGCCTTGAGTCCCCTTTCGTCCACTGCAGCTGCACAGACAATTCCCGCCACAAGGACTGCGCCAATCAGCGATTTCAAAGTCGCTCTCATACCTGGGCTAGTATTGCTCGAGGTCAAGCCGAGCACTGGAGGTCGTTGTTGAGGTCATTTATGCCATCTGTAGCGGTCACGAGCTGATGGGCGGGCCGGGGGTTGCGTACATGACCAGCATGCGAACCACCGCTTAGTGGGGAGGATCGCGTCCAGTGACCTCAGGTGCTGAGCATCAACTGCGTTCTGTCGGTCCAATTCACCTGCTGTGCTGTGACATGTCAGCATGATCTCGGACGAGAGTGTGGCAAGACTGTGCCCGATGCTCTGCCCGCCATGCGAGCAGCAGGCCGGCCGTACTCGAGCATTGCCAACACCCTGCCTTGTAGGTGCTGTAGTGCAAAAGAAGCATCATGATACGGACTGCTAACATACGTTGACATGTAGTGCTGTCACGTGTCGTCTTTGGACGGTGGACCCGACAGTAGCTCGTACGAACCTCGGATGTCGTCCAGGCGGGCCGGAACGTATTCGTCGTCTGACCAAGTCCTCGTGAATGCATGGCGCACACAAGAGATTCACCATGCTGTTCATCACCGGCATCACCATCAGAACGGTGGTGCTCCATGACAGCGTCCTCTTCAGACACACAAGACGTCTGCTTGGTCGAACGATATTGTAGGAAAGACTCGGCGAGCGCGGCGCACGAACAACTCACACTGGTCCAGAGAGAGAGAGAATATCAATAGGCATCTCACGGGGACGGAAGCGCTCACCGCCCCGCGAGCGCTCAGCGCTCAGCGCTCAGGCTAAGTAAGGCTAAGTAGTACCGCGGGTCCGACCACTGCGTTCTTTGACTTTGACCACACCCGGCTTTCCCAATAACCTCGCCATTAAACGACAATTCACGAGTATGCCATCATTTACACCGCCCTCGATTCCTTGACTGACCTCTCTTCCTTCGCAGTGTCGCGTGCACACATTCCGGACGGAGAATTCCTGGAGCAGTGCTGTCGAATTGCGACATCGGACGGCTACGTTTATCAGGGCACGCGTCGACCCGAACCTATAAGTGCAGCCCTGCCGTCGCAGGCCATCCCGAAGGTCAAGACCGCTCGAGATCGGGATGAGGATTATCGCCGCCGCCTCGTGAACTATGCCGATGCCTACACCGATACCCACGGCACGATATGCGGTCAGCCCTTCGTGTATAAGACCGGACCTCCATGGCCCCAGCGCACCGAGCCCAGCTATCACATCGTTCGCTTCTCCCGCGAGCTTCGTCCTGTCAACAATCATCCCATCACGGACTCCTGGGACGGGATCCTCACCGACGTCGAAGCGTACCTCAAGAAAGTCGGACAAGCATTCACGGCTGTCATGGGCGTAGGCTTCGCCAACCAGAAGGATCCGCCGTTCAGACCCGGAGTCGACCCGGACCCCCCATTCTGTCCGCTGGTCATGACGATCGGTGTTGAGCCTGAGACCGTCGCTTTTGAGGACGCAAGGAGAATTGCTGACTATGTCAAGGCTAACATACTCGGCAAGGCAGGCTTCCCTGACATCGACGTCGCGATCTGGGAGTTTACCACCAGCTTCTTTGGCACAAGCGGCCCCAGACTCCCGCCGCTGGACCCTGACATAGATGCTGAGACGATGCCGCTCCGCGTTCCGTTCACGTCCACGCTCGGTATCCCGATATCCCCTTTCAAGGATCCTTACGTTGAGGGGACCGTTGGGCTGTTCCTTACGCGCGGCGAGGGAAAGGACGACATACTCGGTTTAACGGCAGCCCACGTCGTTTCTCCACCCTTCGTTGACCTCAACAATATACGCAGGCCAGAAATGGTCTCGCCGTACGCGATACCTCGCGAGGAAATAGCGGTCCTTGGGATAGAGGCTTATGAGAGAGCCGTCACTGGCCTCGTGACCGAAATAGGTTCTCTTCAATTATCCATCAAGACCAAGAACGAGAGGATCTCCGAGCTTAAGGAAGAGCTGGAACTCGGTAAAGGGAATGCTGACAGAGTCTCCTTTAACATAAAATCCCTCACTATCCATGCTGGGACCGCTGAGTGCATGATGAAAATGTATGACACCCTTCACACCAGTGTCACCAAGTCTATGTCCGTTCTCAGAGGCCGAAGCATCGGCTGCGTCTTGCATGCGGACCCTATTGGTGCTTCCGACGGGCCCCCTGGCAGCGAATACACCAATGACTGGGCTGTCATAAAGATCAGAGAAGATGCATTTAAGAAGGAAGGATTCTTAGGAAACAGGGTTTTCATTCGTACGTCTCACATTCCCCTAGCTGTGTCGTCCCGTTGTTGACGTCCACGCTCTCACACAGACGACCGACTTCGATTCGAGGATGAGACTTTCGCCGAGTTGATGTTCCCCAACGTTGCAGAACGTAAGGGTTCCTCGTACCCCGCGGGCGGTCTGCTGGAGATTCGGGGTGTCGTTCCAGCGGACGAGATGCGCGTACCCACCCAGTTGAACGCTCACGGAGAACCTGCGATGCCAGTGCTCAAAAATGGTGGTCGCACTGGCACGACCGTCGGCTGGCTCAACGGGCTGAAGTCTCTTGTCCGCCACAGCGACTATGCCAACTTCAATGTCGACTTCACCTCTCGTGAGACCACCATCATCCCCTACAGCGCCAGGGAAGGCCCCTTCGCTGCGCCAGGCGA